TTTCACATAGGGCAATTATTATTCAAGGCAAGATGGACAATAAACTGCATAAAACGAACATAATTCCACATTTAAATCAAGTAGAAAACAATCATATAAAATACACTTATCATCCTAATTGCGATAACTTATCAACCAATTAGTGATAGCTTATCATCTAATTATGATAGCTTATTACTCAAAACTTCGATAGCTTATCGTCCATTTGACGATAGCTTATCACCCTTTTTACGATAGCTTATTATCATTTCCTCGATAGTCTATCGCATAATTGGTGATAACTTATCACTAAAACCTCGATAGCTTATCGCATTTTCTCGATAAATTATCGAGTCCACTTATTGCGATAACTTATCAACTAATCCCTAATTAATTAGCACTAAGCATAATTAACTTAATCTAAACTCATCTTAATCAAGTTTAATATACTAATCAAGGAATTAGGGCGATAACTCACCCGTTAATGATTCCGATGACACGAGTATGACTGCGGCAACGAGGGCTACACACGTCTCAGTATGGAAACAACACGTAATGACGACGGACGGCTGGACAGTAGTAGCAGCAACAACTTCGGTAGGCTGAGCTTGGCTCACGGTGGAGGCGAACGAGCGGGGAAGAGGGTCAAAGCAACGCACGGCGGCATGGTGTGGCTTGGGGGCGCTGAACGATGGTCAAGACAGCAGCTAGGGGGCGGTGATGGTGGCCGGAAATAGTGAGGGTGTGAGGGAGGAAATGGAGAGAGAGAGAGAGAGAGAGAGAGGGCGCGGTTGAGGGAGAGAGGAGAGAGAGTGAGAGCAAAATGAGAGATATTTCTCATACAGGGCTTCTCAATCAAGTCTAGATCAATTCCCCAAATGTTCATCATTTCCTCACATAAATGCCGAGACTTTTGCTCCCCCTTCATCACTTCTCAATAAATGCTAGAAGGGCATTTTGGTAATTTCACAAACTATAGTATAAGACACTATATGCGTATATGGACCAGAATTTTGTTCGGGCTCATATAAATCGAGTTCGGGCTCAAAAGGACAAAGATTGGGCTAGAATTGCTAATGGGCTTGAAAATAGGCTAAGTGGGCTTAGTGGGCCTCATTGGGCTCACTTGGGTTTGCTTGGGCCCAATTGGGCTGAAGCACAATGGGCATGAGGCTCAATGGGCCTTCACTTAGCCCACTTCTTCGTAGGCTCCAATTCTCGGCCCGTTAACTCCTTTTCCGAGTATTTCGAGCAAACCGATAAATCGGAGAATTAACGAGGCAATGTCCAATAGTTTCATATTGAAATCCTCAAAAGTTCGACCCCAAATTTCAAACTTTAATTCATAATTAGAATCGATTAATTGCGACTGTAGTATATTTTAAATTAACGGACGGTTTTTAGGAGTTACGCGAATTCGACCCGTAGTTGATTTTGATATCAAACCACGTTTAAGCTTTCTCGAGTCATGGGTAACCTCGGTTGTCATGTAATTGCGAGAGGTCAATCGCTAGTTCCAAAGTACATGATCGTTAGGAATTAGTTTAGGGTCGTTTGCACTCCATACAATGGTCAGGCGAAATCACTTGCGATCCGATTGTATATTATATGGCGAAACATTCTATAACCGTTCCTTGATCGGTCTATAACGACTCAAAATTGTCCATCATCAATCCTTATAGTCAAATTGTAAATCCATGTTGAGTACTTAATTCTTTAATAGCCTTTCCCTATTGGTTAGTCTCTTAAAAGTGATCAATTCAGAGCGAGATTTAATTAATGAATATAATCATTTCATTATATCTTAAATAGGGTCGAAATTTGAGGATGTCACGGTATGGGCCGGGATTCGCGCAAAATGGCCGGTGCAAGTCTCGGCCAAACCGTGCCAAAAAATAAGGAAAACAGAGGGTGCCGAGGCCGGGAAGACTCATCGATCAGCACTGTCTCCAGAGGGGGTCTCCGGCCTTTTTATTGGCAACGGCGGGGTTGTTGGTGCTCCTCGACGACCTGCAAACTCTCTTAGCTTACTCTTTTTCTCTCGGTTGCTCTCAAATCTCTCTCTCTCTCTCTCTCTCTCTCTCTCTCTCTCTCTCTCTCTCTCTCTCTCTCTCTCTCTCTCTCTCTCTCTCTCTCTCTGTTTTGCTCTGTTTTTTTACTTCTGAACTGAATCTGTCTCTATCCTTCTCGTCTGTTTTTATAGTGGCCGGGAGCCACTGTTCCTGCTCCATTAATTCACTGACGACGGCCTGCACCGACCTACTCCGCCTCGTGACTTTGGTGGCCATCCTGGGCCGGTGCAGGGAAAGAGAGTCCTGCACCCTTGCTCCTCGATTCTCACGGTCACCTAGAGAGGAAGAGGAGAGAGGGAGAGACTAGGAAAGGAGGGAGGACAGGACTGGCCATCAATGCCCTCCCTGCGCTTCCCTACTTGCCCAGTCTTCACTTGTTGGGGACGTCAAGGCCGCTCCGCCGTCCGTGGATTCTATGGTCAAAAATAAGGGAAGACAGAGGAGAGAAGGAAGGACCGACAATAGGGAGAGAAGGAGAGGAAGGAGCTGGACTAGGCCGGGCCGAGCCCAGCTCCCGCGAGAGGAAAAGAAGAGAAAGGGGAGCGGGCTGGGCTCGCGGGGAGGAAAAGAAGAGAGGGCCGAGTCGACCCAACCCAAAATTTTTAATTAATTTTGTTGTTTTTTTTTGTTTTGTTGTTTTTTTAAATTAAAAGAGGAAAAATATATTCTAATATTGCAAAATGCAACTATGTCTATATGTAATGCAATTGAAACTAAATAATTTTTTTGTTTAGGAATTAAGGACATTAATCCCTAAATTTTGTGTAATTAATTTTGGGCAATTAAAATTAGCTGTCAACATTTGGCTCAGAGGTTTGCTCAGTCGTTTGAAATTGTTGTAGGAGAAGATTGTTATTTATTGCAACAATCAGAGTGCGATATATTTGGCCAAAAACTAAATGTATCACTAGCAGACGAAACACATTGGTGTCAAATATAATTTTATATGTGATATCGAGTCATAAGGAACCTCATTCGTTGAGAAAGTGCACACAATAGATAATCTAACAAAGCATATGCAATTGACTAAGTTCCAATACTATTCGGACTTCGTTAGCTTCTACGGTTAGTGAGGAGCCCAGAGGGGTTTGGCAGAAACCACAATCAATGAGATAAAATTGGACTTCTCGCCAAGGTGGAGATTCGTTGATCACAGCTCAAAGTTAATTCTGATTGTTTTGAAATTCGATCTATGATTGAATCACAAGGTAACTCAGGCCCTATTATTGGACTCTTGCCAACAAAATGGTCGGTGATGCAAAAAAAGAAATTTATTTCCCACAAGACTTCATTTAAGATGAAGTCCATGTTGACATTGGAGAAGGGCTCATAGTTGTTTTGCATATAAATAATTTTGTTGTTGAGTTTGGTCTCGAGAACATAGTGAGTATGCTTACATATATGAAAACTTGCAAGAGATACAAATAGCATTGAGAACCTTCATGCAAGAGAGTGACAGTGTAAAAAAACTCCTTTTTCGTGATTGATTCTTGTGAGCTCGAGTTTAATCTAGAATTGTGAAACACTAATGAGTGAATATGATTAAACGATTCTAATATCTTCTTAACCAATTATAATGGAACCATCTTAATGATCTCTCCCCATGTAGTTCGTACATTGTCGAACCATGTAAATTCATTGTATTTAATTTTTATTTATGCAATTTATTTCTTACTCAAATTGTGTTTTTGTTCACGTTTCTGTATTAGTCATAACAAATCACATCTTAGAGATAGAAAGATTCATTATGGGTCCCAAAAAAAGAATACTCGTTTCCATGCATTCCTTAACTTACGATTGAGTTTGACTACTTATCATTCATATGATAAATCTATCATATCATACTTTCTTGATAAGTAGTGATATATAGCAATGGACTCGGGTTTAGTAGGTATCGATTTTATCTTTTTTACATCCAACCTTGTATTTCGTGGTTAGTCATTTGAGAGGTGGCTTTTAAAGACAAGATGTTGAAAGCAAAATTGGTGATGTTGGATCTATATGTTATCTTTTTCACATCCAACCTTCTATTTCGGGGTAATTCTATATAGTATTCCAGTCAATTTCTTTCTTTTTATGTTGGATTTTCGATGTTGAATCTGTCATTGTAAAGATTTTTCTAGCATATATCGAGCTTAGTTGTGTCTGATTCGTCAATTCTTGCAATCCGCATATTTTCAATGATTATTAATTAATCCGTGGGAATTACTTCAAAGACCTCTAATTTGATACTTCAATAAACACTAGGCATCTTCAATCTTGATTATTGGCAAAATTAAGGGATTACTTGTGTAATAATTGGGGTGCTCGCTAACACCATCTTTAGGTTACACCAGGCAGACACCACGCAATTTGACTCGAGCAGGAGGCTAAGACAGAGTCAAGTATTTCATTTGTGTGTGATTACACGTAGAGTAGAGTAGATGCATGTTCGATCACACAATAAAAGAAAAGCTTGACCTAATTTAGCGCCCCCCCCCCCCCCCTCCTCTCTCTCTCTCTCTCGTGTGTTTATTTTGTAATATTTCTCAATATTTCTTTTTCCTTTACTTTATTCAATAGTAAGTTTTAGAAAAAAGGGGTCACAACCGTGTTTTTTGTTGTTTTCTTTGATCAGATCACACGGTTCTCCTTTTTCTAGAAACATAAAGAAATTTTGAGAAATTTCACTCTGTGTTTTGTGCATCTACACTTCAAGCGTTCGTGCTTACGAGTTACGAATGCTTTTCGTTTCCACCATGTCATTTTATGAAGTTGAATTAAGGAAAAAAGCTGTTCGAAGTCCCAACTTCATGCAAGAGTACTAAAGGTCTTTGGGGATTGAGGAATCAAAAGAGTCCACCACATGCAACTAATAAAAAGAGTCTAGTCCTTGAAAACCTCAAGACTAGAAACATTGATTATATGCATATGCGAGAAGAATACTCGAGAGTAAATAAAGCTTGCAAACTATTTCCGATCCTTGAGTTCTAGGAAGTTGCCGATGCGTCTCCTTGTGGCATCGATTCCACACAGGAATTGGTTGTAGTATAAATACAAATACATGGGGATCGCCAACACGACAATCAGTATATCGATACAAAATATCACCATGTTGTGTCCTGTGGCCTCATCGAATATTGGGAGTTCGATAGTAGTGGTAGCAAAGTAGGCAACACTGAGAATCATCATCAACGCGTAAACCATGAAACTGTGGGGCAATAGGGGAATAGCGGTGATCCAGATTGTGGTGACAGAGGCCAAAAAAATCGTACCGTTGAGGGCCGTGAACTGGTATGGTCTCGAGCTGTTCGGGATAATGTCTCCGGCTTGATGCAGTACTTCAACAGCATTGCCGCTAGAACTGGTTAGGGGATTTGAAGAGTTATCCAGCCAGGATCCTCTCGGTGAAGTGACAACGGCTTGATAAGTCGCGGTCGCAATCAAGGCAGCCACTACGAGGATTATGTTGCAAGCAGATTCATCTCGGGGGCCAAACCAAAATGTGAGCTTCTCATAGATAGTTAGTTCCATGCTTAAAAACTGTGACAGAGAGAGGTTGAGGGTAAAGAGTCTTGCTACACATCCTACACGGCGTAACCTCTGCGCAAGATCTTGATCGCCACTAGGATTCTTTTGGAAGATATCCAGAGCCGTCTTATCCTGGAAGTTCTTTGCATTTACTTTGACATACCCAATCAACAGCTTGATGATCTGAAAAGAAATGCAAAGGGAACAGAATGAAGTATGTAGCCCTTCAATTTCAATCAATGCTTTGTCACTAGCTTCACTATTGGGCACAAAGTGGGCTCATGCCATATAGGTTTGAGTGATGCTAGTGATGCAATGACCGATGCACTGCGGGAACAAAACCTTATTTATCAAATGGTCAACCAGTGAACGAAGTCCCGAATCTTTTCAAAAAGTGGGATTTCGTCATCTCCCCCAAAATTATTTACGTGAAAGCTAGAAATTGCCCGTGCGAGTTGTAACATGGTCAAATTCATAGAAGTAATGATCCGAATGACTATGATTTTTCACAAAAGCTTCGGACCTAATCAAGTCAACTGAAAGGTTTAGGATTTGATTGTATTTTATATATGAGTTTTTTGGCTATGAATAGAAAGACTACCTTCTTTTTTTTTTTTTACATAAAGAGAAAGACTACCTTGGACGGGTATATTTTTATCATTTACGCATAACATTCAACTAATCATGGGGTAATTTTCCCGTCCGCAAAGTGATTATTTTAGGGTTGTGTGGGGTTGTCCATGTTAGCTTCCATTCCCTAGCTTCAATCTCGTACAATATGTTCAGATGGACGGATTTCGAGAGAAGGAAAGAGAATTCGCTGATCAATAGGAAAAATAAAAGAATAGAAAAGAATGAAATAAATTATTAGGTTGGAGGTGATTATGATGGAAGGAGTTGGAAGGAAATTATTCGTCCAAAACCATTCAACTTAGAGATATTTAGAGCTCGCTAAAACTTGAGTTTGATAAGGGGTTCAAAGCGAAACAACTTTTATCATCCCTGTTTTTTCTCCACTATTAACTGTAAACAGGGTGAAGTCTACATCCCGCCTATGTTTTCCCTCCCTTTTCTCTACATCCTCGTACCAAAACATTATTAGGCCAAATATAAATAGTTTTCCCACTAGTAGCCTTGAAATAAAAAAATTTGTTTGAAAAATACATCACTGAATATGATTATTTTCTTACCAAACATGAAATTGCGATAACTTAATAGATGGGTTATTTCATGAAGTTTATCGGTAGAATTTTGAGGTTGAAATCTCTAAAAAATTTATTTCATAATATAAAGAGTTCTGAAGTCGAATAATATTGTGATATTATCCATTAGCAATTCCAAAACACAAAATAGATTTATAAATGGACGTGTCCAATTGTGTGTGTGTTTTTTTACTGGGGAGCCTTCAAGACAATCTAATTATTACAATATTCACCTACAATATATCCCATGACTCGATAAATCATTTTTGTGAATCTTTCTTGTGTTTCTGGTGGATCACTCGAAGCAAGCAAATTTATGGACACTTCTACAATACACAACACCATGCAATATAACAAATGTCAATCCTCAGATTAGACACTTATAGACAAATATTAACCGTTGGATAAAAATAATACATGATAAAAGTTGCAAAACATGTAGTACAAGTCTCCTCTCTCTCTCTCTCTCTCTAAATGTTTATAAATCCATATATTTTCAAGCCCAGGTATTTCATTATCGGAACATTTGTTCCTGGATTAGATTATGTCAAATTCAAGGATCAAATAAGAAAAGCAAGAACAACAAGGAAATCAATGAACCATACCTCGGGCTGCTTTTCAGACACGGCAATATGTAAGGCGGTGTTACCATCTTCGTCTTTCCAATTCAAGATTTCTGTCAAATGAACTCGCTTAAGCCATCCAAACAAAACCTTGAATGTTTTCAAGTTGCGTTTCTTGACGGCAATGTGAACCACAGTCTCGCAGCGGCTCGTCAAGTCTTCGATGGATGGTTTGCAAGCGCATAAGAATTCAGCTAGGAGCTCCAGGTCCTCATTGTCTCCTTTTTCTCCAGCAACATAATGCAAAGGGGTGATCCCGCCTCGTCCTCGGACTCTGATCAACTCGGGGTCGAGCGTCATCAGTGCCCTCGCGGTGTGATAATGCTTCTTTCGCAAAGCCAAGTGCATAGGGCTTTGACCCCCTCGATTGAGCTTTCGAGCGAACGATGGCTTCAAGATGGCCATCTCCATGGCCACTTGAGTCTTCCCCTTGTCCACAGCGTCGTGTAGTGGAGTATTTGCGAAGGGTTTCTCATATGCACAATCGAAGATATTTCCCTCCTCCTCAATCAAGCGATATAGCTCATCAACATCATCATTTTCTATTGCTTGTTGAAGCCGAGGGTCCATTGTTTTGACGAGGGAAATGTAGGAGAAGAGGGGCTGTGCTCGTTGATGATGGATGGAAGTAGGACTCGCAGAATCATAAATAGTGCCATAGTCGACCAAAACTTAATTAAGTGAGTCATTCTTTATGATTTATCCCCTAGAAACAACTTAAATGGTCGGGTGGTATTTCTCCCCGTCCTATCACGCAGTGATGGTAACTACTTAAACTGTGTAAAGTATAGAAATTCCAAAGGTTTGAATTCCACGAACGGCAAACTTGACATCTAATTAAAGCTTTTTTCAAATTTTAAGTCCTCGAGTGGCCAAAACAAAACCTTTCAAAGTCCTCAATTGACCAACTGCTCAAACTTCGAGTCCTGTTTCTGCACTTATCCCTATTATTATCAAGAATATTAAATTAATATCTAAAATCTGGTGAGTCTTTGGTGGGTTCTTCATCACTTGTTCCTCTGTAATGTAGTTGGCAATTGGGTTTTCCACAAAGAACCACTATCATGTTCAGGGAGCCAACACATTTCAGTATCAGAGGAAACTGCAACTAAAGTCTCTCTATTAACTGAGCTGAAATAAATCAACATAAACTATTCAGGCAACATAAAAAGTTTTGTACACTTAAGAGTAGTAGATGCATTCCTTTCTCTACCCGAAGATGAGATTGTGTTTAAGAGTTTCAAGAAGTTTCATCATCTGCTATTTGATTCACACGCACGTAAATTTATAACCCCTCCAGATAATTTAATGTAATGTCAGCAGGATTAAGTTGTGCTAATATTTATGTTGAGTGGGGCTTTCAGAACCTGTACCTTAGGGAGAAGATAACTGATGTTGTTGAGTGGGGCTTTCTGCAAATGTTTGTCAAAAACTAACATTTAATCACCAGTAGAATCGATTTTTTCAAAAAAGAAGTATCTCCATTTTTTTCACTATATGTAACATGTAGCTTCTTCTGTGTAAAACGGGTCTGGCCTTTAAATATGAAGCGAAATAGAGACAGCACGTGGAGCTTGCAGCTCTGTGCATGGAACTGTGTGTGGTAAAAATTTGTTTTATAGCGTAGTGTATTCGAAATATTCGACTGGCCTTTCTGTTATCATCACATGACCACACAGCAAAAACAAGATCTAGAGAGTCTTTAAATAGGAAGAGAAATAGAGAGAGCACGTGGAGCTTGCAGCTCTATGCATTCGAAATATTCGTCTGCCTTTGTGTAAATTAATTATCATCCATCATCGATCATTAATTGACCACAAATTGAAAAAGGGAGTGCATGTTGAACCACATGCAAAGTGCCCGAGAATGATAAAGCCTAAGGATGATAGGAGACCGAATATGATTTTTGCAAATCGAGGCCAAGAGAGCTTGTTATTCCATGGGCCATTCCCTAAGTTAGTGTGAAGCCCAAAAACTTGAAATTTCTTTATATATAGCATGATATGTGATCGGTTTCAAGGTAAGCTGATTTCCAGTTTGTGGAATCAAGAACCGGCCTACCGGATCCGGGACCCACTCGGGAGCTGGACCAACCTGTCCGGTTTGGTTCCAAGGTTGATCCAGGAACCAACCGTATCTCCTTTTTTCCTCCTAATGCCCTGTTGGATTGCAAGTGTTGTTGCATAGTCTAAATACATAAAGGAGAGGCGTTATGCCACAAGAAAGATGTGAGCATGAGGCATGGAGCCGCGAGGGAGGCGTGAGCATTGCGTAGTAGACATTGAGAGAAGTGAGAGTGAGAGGCGTGAGCGGCGAGCACGCGTGACTGACTTTGAGCGAGAAAAGAATGAGAATTAAAATTTTGGAAATTTGGAATAATAAGAATTTTAAAAAATCGGTCTAGTCCGAGTCCATGCTTGGAATTGGAAACCGAACCGATATTCACTGGTTTCAAAATTTAGGAACTGATTGGTTTAGTCTGGTTTAATTTGGTACTTTTGCTCACCCCTAATGATATACAAAGCCTGCCATGCGACAAACGAAACAATATTTTGATGATGTCCCCCGTGTGATATTTTTGGATAAGTCTACTTATCATCTTGAAATAATACCGATTTCCAGAGTTTATTTACCTAAAAAGTAGACAGTTTCGATCTCATAAAACGGAATAGAAAAAACGGAAGGAAGGAATGAAAACAAGCGGGGTGAATACAAAGGAGTCGAACGTGGAGGTGAAGTGTATGGAGGCAAATTATTTGCTTTAATATAAAGTATGTGAGACTTCTCTTTTCGGTAACCCATAGATTTGTGTTGATTGTTATATGGATTCTTTTTGCAGGACTGAGCTCGGTTCCTCGTAAATATAACTTATGACATGAGTCGAACGACTTCTCATTTAATCAACTGAAATTTAATATGAAACGTGTGGATTAGTGTTGCCATGTTTCTCATTATGAGGTTGCCACAGGGCAAACAATCCAAATCTGCTCACGTCATCCATGCATGGAACTGCGTGTGGAGTGAAACAGAGAAAGCACGTGGAGCTCGCAGCTCTATGCATGGAACTGTGTGGATATGTATTCGAAATATTCGTCTGCCCTTTGTGTAAATTAACCATCACATCATCATTTATCTATTGACCATGTAGAGAAAAGGTTGTGAGTATGCAAAAGGAGGTGAGAGTTTGTTACTGTTAAAATATCTAAACATTAAACACACTTCATTTCACTATTTAAGTTTTTAGAACATTTTACGGTGATTTTACTAGATCCTTCACATATCAAACAGGAGATTTTAAATTCAAATTTTTACAAATCTCTATTTGCCTCACTTATTATATATTTTCATGTTCAGTCATAGATAAAAGTCCAGCCTAAACGTGAGAGGGACTATTAAAATGATTAAATATTAATCATGCATTTACCTAACAAATTAATCTTGTAGATAACGCACATAGTTCATGTTGATTACGAGAAAGACCCTTTGGCGGGACTTGGCTCGATTCCTAATAAATATACCTTATTATATGAGCCCAACGACTTCTCATATAATCAATTGAGATTCGACCATGAAATGTGCCCTGACCAAAAAAAGAAACTGTGAAACGTGCATGGGCCTCATTAAAATCTGCTCAAGTCAACTGTTTCTCAAGATGACGCTGCCACAAGGCAAGTAATCCAAAACTGCTCATGTCATCCGTGTGCTCGGCAAAGACAAATTAACAGGACCATAAATTCATAATTTAAAGGCAAACTATATCTGCCTTGTTTTTTTGTTATGACATTTGCGGGAGGAAAATGGCGATCAACAAATCCGAAAGCCACTAAACCTGTTGTCTGACCTAGGGTGAGCATGGTTCGGGTGGGCGATTCCCACCATAGAACCAAGAACCGCCCATTAAGGGTCCAATTTAGGAACCGGTTCCAAAGCGAGAGAGATGAGGCAATGAACGGTTCCCGGATGCATTGTAACCATAAATTAATGGGAGTTGAGAGTTGAGATCGTGAGTCGATGAGCGATGAGCTTAAGAGTTGAGATCATGAATGAGAGATAGAAAGACGACTCAGACAAATTGAGAGTGAGACGAAACGAGCACTTAGTTAATTGTTGTTGAGTTTTAGATTAGGGATTTCAGGGTTTTCATTTTTCTTAAAACGTTTTCTTTCTTTTTTGGTTGGAAATTTTCTTAAAAATTATATATATTACCCATTCGGTCCAAGTGGATGGTTCCATGCCTAGAACTGGGAAACGGACCGGTCCCCATGGGAGCCACCGGTTCCGATCCGATCCAGTCCTGGTGGTTTCCAGTTCCTTTACACACCTCTAGTTTGACCAACCCCACAAGTTAAAAATAGTGTTAGAATAATTAAATATTAAATTACACTTTCATATAACAGTTTAAGCTTTTAGAATAGTTGGCAATTATCCCACCAAAATCTCACGTGGTAACAGAGCTGTAGGTCCTGAGTTCAAATCTTTCTAGGCCCCATTTGCCTCCCCAATTAAATATGTCCACGTTTAATATTAGACAAAAAAAGACCACACTAAGCATGAGGAGAGTATTATAATAATTAAATATTAAACCACACATTCATCTAACAGTTTGAATCTACACAAAAGAAAGCAATTCTTCTATTTAGTCGATCCATTGGGATCCTCTAAAATTATGAAATAAGGTTTCGTTATATTTATTTTCTTGAGAAGATGCAATATATCAAATTATGTTTTAATATAACATGTTATGTAAATTTAGATTTTCCTGGTCACTTGAATAGATAGAGGTCCTTGATATGTTATATTTTCAGTTTTGTGGATCGTCAGTTGGAAAGCACAATAATAGTTGACGGTTGCTTTGTCGACAACTGAAGCAGAATACAATGTGTTAACCGAGGAAATCAAGGAAGATATTTGATGAAGAGGTTTGCTCTGTGATTTGGGATTGCTGTAGGAGAAGATTGTTATTTACTACTACAATCAGAGTACAAGGGTTAGGGACATGGGCATTGTCGATTTCTTGAAGGCTGATACATTCGCAAGGTCTGCTGCTCCCATTGGGGCATTTCGATTCGGTCTCTCTCTCTTTCTACTGTCCACATGGTGAGGGAATGCGCTACTTTCTTTTCTCTCTGTTTGACTACATATATTCTTGCTTTCGATTGTTCACTGAGATGGTTAATGCTTTTATAATTTTCCTTGATAGATTCGGGCAGCCTTGTTTTGCAAGAGAGCTTATCCACTTCGGAGTTTTTGCAATCGTTACAGATATGTTCATCATCTGCTATTTGATTTACACACACGTAAATTTATTTCCCCTCCATGTAATTCAAACTAATGTCAGCAGGATTGAGTTGTCCTAATATTTATGTCGAGTAGGGCTTTCAGAACCCGTACCCTATGGAGAAGATAAACGATGTTGTTGATTATGTTCGTCAAAAGCTAAAATTTCAATCACCAATATCATCGGCATTTGCGAAAAACCGATCACCATTTTTGTTCACTATCCGTACCTTGTTGCTTCTTCTGTGCAAAACTTGTCTGGCCTTTAAATATGAAGCGAAATAGAGACAGCA